TATCTTATGTTGTGCATTTGATCTTAAACTTGTTATTTCTACATATCTACAATTTTGTATCCTTTGATTTACTTTTGTCCATCTCTGTATTTTATCATTTTTTTGCTTTTTATTGTAGATTTCACATATAAGGGAGATCATCAGGTAATTTTCAGTCTGCATTTGGCTTATTTCAGTTACCATAACTTCCTCTAATTTCATAACATTGTAGCAAATATCATGGTTCCCTTTATTATTTTTAAGGCTGACAACATTCTGAAGTGTTTGTGTATTGTATTTTCCTTATCAGGTCAAAGGATATTCAGATTTTCATATTTTTGGCTATTGTTAATAATTCTATAATAAACATGGGAGTATAAATATCTTCACAAAGTAGTGATTTTTTTTTCTCCTTTGGGTATATATGCAAAAAGGATTTCTGAGTCTTATAGTAGTTCTATGTTTAATTATTTAAAGGGTCCATGGTGTTTCTCAAAGGTTTTGAAAACTTTTCAACAGCCACTCAATCATCAAATGACAGCCATCAAAATGAGCCAAGTGGAAGAACTCTGTGATCTCATCTATGGTGACAATGACTCTCCATTCCAACAGAATTCAGTCTTCACTACAAAACAGCAGTAACTGCTATGAAGATTCTTTGGCCACACCCTCTGATGAGATGATGAAAAACAGAGGATTTATTAAGATAAATAAATAGCACCTAGGCCTGACAATTCTTCAAGTTGACAAAACCATTTAGGCCATAGTTGAAACTAATGCAGCTTGATTTTTGAGTATATATGAAACTTACATTATGTCATGTAAATACTTATGGTAATCAAAATGAGAAGTTGAACTTCCTTCTAATGATGGTATAATTGATTTTCGACATACTGCCATGAGAAAACCCTCCATGTAGCAAGAAATCATTTTAAAGTTTAAATATTTCCCTCATTTTCACTTAAAGACCATTCTTTTTGTTTTGTTTTGTTTTATAAATTTTATTTTGATACAGCACCTCATTAAGTTGCCCATGTTGACCTCAAACTTGCAATCCCCCTACTTTACCCTCCTGAGGAAAAATAATGTCTTGTATAAGAGGCATCAGCAGTTTGGCAGAGGAATATCAGTCAAAACAAAAAGAACAAATAAGGACAAAATAAAATTTGTGAGACATAAAAACTAGAACTGATTTTTAAAGATATCCTTAAGGAATTTTAAGTACAATACAAAAAAAATTTAAAAATGTAGTAGATAAATAGATTGAATGTTTACCACTGAGACACAAATCAATAATCTGGATCATAAAAATAGAAATCATATAAAGAAAAAGATATCTTGAAATTTTATAAAGTACACCATAAATCAGCATATAATAGAATATGTTGTCATGACAAAAATATTTATAGATACTCAATCATACAAATCCTTGCTTAACTGTGTAAAAATTATATAGTCATCATAGCTCCAATAAATGGTATTTTTAATCAATGATATATTAACATATAAACACAACATACAGGTTTTTATGGTCCCTGCAATTTGAAAGTCACAATAAATTTAAAATCTGAAATTTTCCTTAACATGTTGTGGTGCACGTAGAAAATTTTCTTGTTTAAATCACATTTTCATGATACTACAGTTAGGATTCTATCAAATGGTTCAGGCACATACTGAATAAAACTTTAATATTTATATTGAAATGCTAATCTTACTTGTCAATATTAGTGGTATATTAGCATAATTCGACATTTTTAATACTATGGGAAACAACTTAAAACCGGTCTCTTTAATATTGGCAAATTGAATTAATGACATGAACCATTTTCTCATTTATTTCTAAATAAAAACAAAATTTAGTTTGATATGCTATACTATAGAGCCAGTAGAGGGAGCTCACAGTTTTTTGTTGTTTTTTAACTTACTAAAAAAAAAATTCTTTTAAAAGCTACCAGACCCTGAGAGATACTGTTTATTATTTAATAAAATATGTTAGTAAACAAGAAGAATAACATGCATTTAAAGTAATAAATTCATTCATTTCTATGTAAAAGATACCAATGCTACTTATTTTATTTAAAGGGAGAGGGGATCAAGAAATTGAGGGAGGTAGGAGAGGAGAGAGGGAAATGAAATGAGAAAAGAAATTAAGATGTGTTATGTACATGTACCAACTCCACACAAAGAACGTGAACATTATTTCTTCAAACATGTACTAATAAAGAAAGAAAACAAAGTAGCCTGTTTATTTTTTTCTGAGTTTATATTCACTTCTATTATTTTTGCACTAGATAGCACCCAGGGTCAGATTAGCTAGGAACTGGCTGTTGGTGTGTTATCACTCTTCTAGTACTATGGGTTATCCAAACCCAGGACTTTTTCCTCAAAATATACTACTAGTGTATTGTTCAGAAAAGTAGGAGAGTACCTAGAAAGAATAGTGAATCCCCAAGTGGAGTAAAATTCTGCCTCTATTAGGAACATGTACTTTATACTTCATACTAGATTTCTGTTGTGTCAGTCCACTAAGGTACTGGGTATTATCTTTATACACCTACTGTTTCAACAAATAGTGTATTTACACAATGTCAAAAAACCCCTCACATGTGTACATGTGTTAATTATTGATTCTATTTTTTTTCAGTAATGGGACATAGATGTTCAGGCTCAAGAATTTCAGTTATTATGTGAAAAAATCATTTATACCTGTTAGTGAGGAGTGCGTGCTTATGATTAGGTGGTCAAATGATGTACAGTGTTTTCCTTGTGGAAAATAAATTGGATGACTTAATATCCTATGTGGATAGTATGGTTAGAAAGTTAAAAAGTTCAGGCAAGAGATGACTATATCTTGAATTTCAAGGTCATTTTGGATAAAAAAATTGTTCATTTATTTTCTTTACAAAAAAATCTAGATTAGGCAATTTTTGAAATAAGGAAATTGAGATGAGAGTAGTGGTAAGGGTGTTTCCCTCATTTATTGTTTGCATAAGTGATTGTTTGGTGACATTTTTCTGATATAGCATTAAAAGAATTGCAGTGTGGGAGTGGAAAAGGTCAATATCTTAATCTTTGATTTGGACATGTTAATTCTAAGGTACCTTTGGGATTTCTAAATCTAAATCATCTTATTAAATAGTTGAGTTGAAGCACTATTAAGAGAAATAAGAGGAATAAAACTAAGCTTACTCTAAACCCTGTTCAATGACATTTTACTAACAAGCACCTATAGTGAACCCTAAGGACACAGTGTATAATTTTAATTATTATAACTAGTTGTATAGATGATTTGATCATTATCTCACAATGCCCCATAGAACAACTTCGACTTCATCCTACTGGGAATGCCTTGGAAACATTAAGGGAATCTCAAAAGTTTTTAAAGAATGAGTTTCAAACAGAAGAAAAAAAATGCCATCTGTTTCAACTGAAAATTGGTACAAAAACTATATTGCTTTGCATACTTTTTATACTGCTTTCAGAAAATGACAGCATTTGCAGTTTTCCAATCTTTTTTGGGAATTGGGTGAGGCAGTAAATATTTTCCTAATTTTCTTAATAATAGCTTTGAAATGTGTCTCTCAGATAACAACTATCTTCAGTATGAAATTAATGTACTAGACAATTTTTTTAATTTTTCAAAATTTTTAATTTTATTTTTTATAGTAGACAAATTTTTAAAAAAATCAGCAAACAAAATCTGAATAGACAAGAGTTAAGTGCCCATTTGAGCTTTTATAATAGACTTTTATTATATATAGCTAAGAAAATTGTTGAGAAGTTTTAAAATAAACTTTGAGTAATAGAAAAATGAAAATAAAAAATTGAGGTAATAATGATAAGAAAAAAAGATATTCAGATTTTATTTTAGAATGTGAAAAGTTATCTCAACAAAGACATAAGCTACATGATCAAATCTCACTTGTAATTTTTCAGAATGGAAAATTCTGACAAGGTTTGCATGGTTGAATGCAATAAAAATATTTTAATTCCACGGAATCATGAGAATACGGGCTAAAGTCGCTAAAGGTAATTTCTATGGTTTCTTTGAGTCTCCGTGTTTATCACTCAACTGTTCAGAAAAAAAATTTACAAAACTTACTATTTCTTGCATTAACTATACATTGTAAACACTAAACTTAAGAATAATCAAGACTTTTGTTATTAGAGTTTATAAAGAAAATTGAACCACTTTATTGAGGGCAAAAATCTCTTATGATTCTTAATTTGTAATATTTTTAGCCTGTGCATGGTAAGGCTATCTGTAGGTATATATTTTCAAGTAAAAATTCTGAAGCTCATTCATTCTTCATTTGTGTCCAGAGAAGACAAAGGAATTTATCCCAAATGTTTTTAAGGCTGACCTTTAATTAAAAAAAATACCCTTTATATTTTAAAACTAGATAAACCCTATTTTTCTAATGTTTCCTCGAGTTAAAAATATTTATTGTCCAAGTGTTTACAAGTATGCTTATGCAATTATGAAAAAAAATCTTCACATGAAAATACCATAATAGTCTGTATTGTTCCATGCATTTGTTTCTTCTCAAAATATTCAAAAGAAAACTTATTTATATATATTACTCATGAAAAACATCTATTTTATGTAAGCATTAAATGATGTAGTCATAATAATAACAGTATACACAATATATTGGAATAAATTTAAGATTATATTACTGAAACATAGAAAAGCCTATTTTAAAAACCCTCAAATCTGTTTGAATGTCTAACTTACACAATTTCAGGTATATTTCAGACAAAAGTATACAGTTCTAAAAAACTTTGTAATGTTAAAAGGAGATTTGCATTAAATTTGCATGTCCCTTTAGGTGAATTATCATTTGATACTTTTTATGGAGAATTTTGAATGTGCATAAAAGTAGACAAAGGTAAAAAATTTAAAATATTAATGAAATGAGAAGCACCTTTGAGGAAGATATTAGACACACAAGAATATCACCTAATTAATGATTCATTTGTGACTGTTCCTCACTTATTATTTCATTTTAGTGATTGTTAGTTTGAATATGACAGAAGACAATAAGACTCTGGTGACCAACTTTGTCCTCATGGGACTGACAGATTGTCCAGGGTTACAGGTACCCCTGTTCTTAGTGTTCCTTGTCATCTACCTCACCACCATGGTGGGCAATCTTGGACTGACTGCTCTCATCTGGAAGGACCCCCACCTTCATACCCCCATGTACTTATTCCTCAGCAGTTTAGCCTTTGCAGATGCATGCACTTCATCCTCTGTGACTCCCAGGATGCTTATCAACTTTTTATCTAAAAATCATAAAATGTCCTTGGCTGAGTGTTTTACCCAGTTTTATGTTTTTGGTTTCAGTGCAACCACAGAATGTTTCCTTTTATTAGTGATGGCCTATGACCGCTTTGTGGCCATATGTAACCCCTTGCTTTATCAGGTTGTGATGTCCAATAGCGTCTGTTCTCGCTTTATAGGTGTTTCATATTTTGTTGGTTTTATGCATTCAGCAATTCATGTGAGTTTGTTGGTTAGACTAACTTTCTGCAAGTCCAATATTGTAAATTACTTCTACTGTGAAATTTTACAACTGTTCAAAATTTCTTGCACTGATCCAACAGTTAATATATTTCTGGTTTTAATCTTTTCTGCCTTTATACAAATCTTTACTTTTATGACTATTATCATCTCATACTTTTATGTTCTCCTTGCCATTCTGAAAAAGAGGTCTGAGAAAGGCAAAAGCAAAGCCTTGTCCACCTGCAGCGCCCACCTGCTCTCTGTGTCTTTGTTTTATGGGACTCTCTTCCTCATGTACGTGCGCCCAGGGGCTGGAACAACTGACAATCTGGACAAAATGTATTCTATATTTTACACAATAATAATTCCCCTAGTAAATCCTTTTATATACAGTTTGAGGAACAAAGAGGTTATAGGTGCCCTGAGGAGATTAAGAAAAAAATAAATGTTTCCCAGAGATGTTTCAAACTTTTGTTTACATATTGAAGAAAAAACCTAGTATGAGTTAGCCAATACTCTATTATTTCACCAGAGGGTCTATGAATACTGTGTGAGTCAGTTTATATTCTGTTTTCTTGGATGAGAATCCAGTGACAGTTTGGAAATAACCCATGACTAGCCTGTTTAGCTCAGAAAATCAGCTATTTTCTAGAGACTTCAAATTAATTTTCAATTAGTAACTGGCATTTTATTGAGAAATGGGAAGACTGAAAGATAGCTAAAAGGGAGAGAGTCATATATAGTTAGTTACTTACTTGAAAGAGTCCAGCTTACTCTTCTGGACATGTACTTCACTAAGTTCTTTTAGTTATTTGCCATATGTATTAAGCATAGCAGAATGATAAAAATACAATTCTGTTTCTTGGGGGAATATATTACTGAGAAGAAAAGTACTGTTTATTGATAAAAGTTAGGAAGAGTTCTAAAGCATATTGATGAATCTTAGTAAGAAAAATGGAACCTGAAATAAATTAAAGAGTGGAGCATAAAAATTAATCATAACTCACATGTAAAACTGAATGAATTATTTTATCAAGACTATTTCATTTAGCATGATACTCAAAATCTATATATTTTGGAATATTTTAATGCAATAAAAAGTAGAAGTGATTCCAGAGGTCTGCTTTGTGATTGCATCACCAGTCCTGTGGGTTTTGGTAGGAACTGACTAGGAAGAAGGCAAGGAGATTATGTGAGATATGAGACTGGTCTACTACATAAGCATAGGATTGAAAATTGCAATAAATTTTTCCTTTCTTTATATGTATGTGTGTGTGCGCGCGCACCTGTATATGTTTATTTTCTTTGTTTTGAAGGGATCACACTCCTGAATTGCAAATAATTAATTGTTAAAAATTCATTGGAACAATTTTCACATATTATATGGACAAAGATGACTCATCTTGTCTTTTAATAAAACGATCATATTCCTCCAATCATAATCCAATCATTATTTCTTGAGTAATTTTTTCAGTACACTTATCTCAAAGAATCATACAATAAGAATTAAGAATAAATTCATAAAATGAGAATGAAGAATAAGTTGTTTATAAATGAAAGTATGACTTTTGTTTGATTATGTATAAAACACTGTAGTTTTTGTAAAGTTAATAGTTTCTAGAAGTATATACGAGTTTTATCTAAATATTTAGGCATATGATAGATAACTTATATCACAAGTCTATCAAAATTCATTTTGGGAACAATTTGTTTATATATTTGTTTATATATATATGTTTATTAAGATTAATTCCACCAAATCTTTAATAATGAAATATGAACAAAAATTTAAAAGTTTACCCCACATCAATAAATTTGTTGTCTTTTTTTTTTCCTCAGTAACCTTTTATTGTTATCTCAGGTTTACAATAAAGAAACAGAAAAGAATTTGATCATTAAAAAAAATCATAGCTGTCAATTCAAAATGAAGTTCTTATTAAACAAAGCAGAACACTATAGCCTATAATTACATCTTTAATTTTATTTACAAGAATTGTGTACGATGTGCTATAAAATAAGACTCTGGAATAAGATAAAAATGGTTATCCCTAGAAGTTAGCTACCCTCACTGCTTATAATTAATCACAACTGTCTATATCCTTAATTAGCATTTTATTTATATACTAAGAGCCACCATTCTGATACACAACTGATACCTAATTTTTGAAAACAATCCCTGTCCACAGGTCTAAACTTTTTTTCTACATATAATTTAGTTATTTGCTTCAGTTTTTTTTCTAAATAGGTAGAGGACAGGTTTTATTTTAAAAACAAATATTAGTAGATCCTTTCAGACAAACACATTTTAATCAAGAAAAGAATAAAAAATAAAACAAGTTTCATGAAAGAAAAGAAGAAAAAGGGTTTAGGAAAAGCAAATTGTACTCTCACACTTTTTTTTTTTTCAAATCAAACAAAGTACCCTTTATACTAGACATGGATTAATTCTGGCCCTCCTATTTAACAGACTGAACATATGAAGCTAAACCCAATGTCATAATACCCAGAATGCTTAAAAATTATTTGCTACAAAGCTTTTGAATCAAAGAAATCTTTAAAGCACACAGTATAACTAAGTGAACAAGGAGCTTTGGGAGGTATACAGGAAGAATGACTCTCTGAGTGTAGTCTTCAAGGGTCTAAGTAACAGTCTTCCTTTTAGTTGAGGTGAGAGGTAGGATATAATTGGACATGCATTATTCATATGGAAGCATATGGCCCGTTACCTTGTAAATCCTTCTAATACCCTTGTAAGTAGGTACAGCCAAATATTATACCCCAGAGGAAGGTGAGGCACTAAGAGGTTAAGAGTCCAGTCTGTAGAGTTCACCAGTTGCAGAAAAGTGATTTTCATGTTTCCTTTTTTTTGACCTTTGTAAAAACAGTATAAATAAGTTTTCATTTATATCTCAAAGCACCCTACGAAGCAGACACTAGATATCCTCAGTTAAAGCAAAATGATTACAAAAGAAAAAAAACTGTGTGATTGAATTAAAATCTTATTAGTCCCCTGTGGCCTCAGAATACACTTTTAAACCTACATCAAACCCATTTTTCATTGCTGCCATCAGCAGGGCTGTACTTTTTAATAATGAGGCCTCAACTGCTCTGTGAATGCCTGAGAAAGACGATACGCAGCCCACAGTGTGAATGCAGAGAAGACTCTTCCAGCGGTTTTCTGCTGCTTGAATTGCAATTCAGTGACTGGCATAAAACCGCTACAAGCTCATTTGAAGTTCACTCTTGGTTTACATTCTTTCTCATATTTTATTTACAAAAGACATCCGCTTATAAATCTGATCTCATTATCACAATTGTACCTTGGAAAAGCAGCTTATCTCTATGGGAGATAATCAGGTAAACATGTTACCAAACAATAATTAATTTAATGTCCTTCAAGTTCAAGGGTAAGGTAAATCTATGTATGCTACTTATTATCTAGTAGAGATTGATTATTCAAGTATCAGCAATATTAGTCCTTAAAATGTTATCATTTGTGTAGTGCAAAAAATATATATGTATGTATGTATGTACACAAACCAAACTACTGGACAGCAGAAAAGAAATGTAATTAAGATTTTCTCGTGGGGCCAGGGATTTAGCTCAGTGGGTTACACTGTCTGCCTTGAAAGCACATGGACCCAAGTTTGATCCTCAGCCAATTTTATTCCGAGGTCATCCAGGCCCAGCAGTCTTCTTGAGTAAAACATCACTCTTCAGTTCAGTTTTCTTCTCCTTTGATAATATAAATGGACCAACTACTGGCAATAAAAGACCATACAATAGCAAAAGTTAATGCAACAGGAGACGTCTTAAAGGGCCACCAAGATGGTCTCTGCGAGGAGGACTGATTACTAGACTGCAATG